TAAGATATTTATAATAAATCCCCCAAATAATGCTCACAACGAATTTTTGTTTTTCAAATCCCTTTTAAATCATCCAAAATTCTATTGATAACTCTCCAAAAATCACTCAAAATATTCAAAATAATGAGTTATCAAATGTTGAGGATAATATTAAGTTTTTAAGACAGAAAAGGATGGTATAGAAGGTGCTAAATGATTGATACAAGACATGGAAGATAAAAAAGAGTCGTTAAGTGGGAGGAGAAGAAACTAAGAATTTGTAAGTGCAACGAAAATGCATGTGAATTGCCATGTGAAGGCATTAATTTCTTACACATGCACATATCCTTCAACATATTTCCAAACAAGACCCATGTGAGAATTCATCAATCACCGAAATCAAGAGTAATATACGAAGAATTAGGTTCACATTCACATCATGACAGTACTACGCCCACAAGCTCGCAACACAGGTGACAGCCCTTATCAAATCAATAAACCAGTTAAGAGCAAGAATAATAAAGCTAGCAGGATAAGGAATTTATGATTGAGAAATAGACAGTTTCCAAACAACAATAAGATAAGGCATGGCATATCAAACTAGGATGTCAAGAATCATATCTACAAAAACATACTAGAGATTAGCGAGGGATGGGAAATGGATAGTAAATAAAAATGGATTCTTTGATTTTAGAGAGAAGGAAGGTATAAAAAATATATCCAATATATATATATATATATATATATATCTAGCATTTCATTGTTTTGCCATGTGAAGTGTTATTTTGCATTATAACAGTTTTTTTTTTAACATTGGTTAGCCTTTTATTAGGAAAAGTAATATTAATGCTTGAATATTTACTCTATTAGTGATTGTATTAGATAGATAAATAGTTTTTTGGTGTACTTTTTATTGATGTCGTTGATGATTTATTTTTAAAATTCTGTGCTATTTTTAAAATATAAAATTGACTATTTTCTACTCTCATATTTTTCCACGGGAATATGACTTTTTAAATAAAAGTCATATGAATTTTTGAGCAAATCAAATTGATAGTGATAAGTAAAAATAAAATAATAATAAGACTATGATTTAAAAGGCATAAGGTCAGAGACTCAAGTTGAGGGAGGGCGGCTCTGACGTTGAAGCTTTAAAACAGGGAAGTCAATGAACGATACAAGGGAGAACCATAGATATGATACTATCTCCGGTCCTAATTATAAGAGTTAGTTGATTAATTTGAAGAGATTAAAAAAAAAATTAAGTTAGTTATTTGTCATAAATAGATGTTGTCTTTTATAAAATATCCTTACTAATCAAGTGTATTGGTTAGAATTACCATTGTGAGAATGACTATCTTGAAAAAAAAACATAAATATTAGAGATAAAGTAGATTGAGATTTTATATTTAAAATTAAAATAAAAAACAAACAAAGTTTTATATTAAAGACCAGAAGTAGTATTAATTAGCATCGTCAAATCTAAAGCGATGGCTTAATTGGAATCATAAATGGAGAGTACGCATTGACTGTTGATGAGGGCTGGAAAAACATGGGCAAGTTGGATATTTGAATAAGAACCAACAAGAATAAGAATCAATAATAATGAAAATACCTGCCCCACCTTCTTTTAAGTTTTTAAGCGAAAGATATTATTTTATTTTATTTTTTAATTTTTAATGATCTCCTGCCTGCAATTTCTACTCATATAAAAATTATGTATTTTCTATGGTTGAATGGAAGACTTTGACAACACATGCGTGTGGGCGTGTGTGTGAATTTAAATTTATTATTTACAATGACAAGCCATTGACACAAAGTAGTTAATGAATGCAAAAAATTGAAAATAGAAGCTAGACCTAATCTTTTTTCTATTTTATACAGTATTGCTTTCCCTTTTATTTTAAATGATTTTCAATGACTATATTTTCCTTACTTTATATAAAATCTTAGACAAAGTGAGCAGTTTATATTATGAATAATACTACCTCCGGTCCTTAATATAAGATCTTGTTTGACTTTTATTTTGATTCTAAATATAATACTCTGATCCATTTTGTCTTTTATATTTATACATTTTTTTTCCAAAGTAGTCCTTTTAACAATTATAATTCTAACCAACACACTTAATTAGCAAAGATATTTTAGGAAAAACAACACATATTTATTAAAAATAACTAATTTAACTTTTTTCTTTAATTTTTTTAAATTAATTAACTAGTTCTTATAATTACGACCTAAAGTAGTATGATTCTATATATACCCTTTAATATTTCATAGTCGTGATTCCTACTCTATATAAATTAAAATCTAAGATGAGGTGAAACGATCTAAGATGAGTATATAGTTTTAAGTGTTAAAATAATATGCTTTTACATATTTTATAGTCTGGGTTAATTTAAATTATGATAAAAAAAATCTCTTAATTATACGGCACATCACACCTCTTCTTAAGAAGAGGTCATGGGTTCCAAGGGGGTGTTTGGCAAAACCAAAACCTAGGTTTCAGAATCACTTTTCCGCAAAACGAGGTAACCTCCTCCACATATTTACTTCGTAATCCGTAAAAGCACTTCTGAAACCATGGTTTGGTTTCTATCCAAACACCCCCTTGGAGTGGGTGCATGCGTGTGAGGTGTGGGTATGTAGCGGACTTGAAGTGAAGAAAAAAGAATTAAAATAAGTAATTTTATCTTTTACGAAACAGAATATTTTTTTTTGGGGTCAAGGCATACCTTCAAATATTTTTTCAAACACATCTAACATTTTAAATATTTTTTTAAGTGTGTTCACGTGAAGTATTTTTTAGTACATGCATTACCTCAAAGCATTTTTTTAATAAGTCAAGCATCTAAAAATATTTTTTAGTGTATCTAATACCTAGGCAAAAAAATACTTCAGCGTGCTAAATGCACTTAAAAAATATCTCGGGATGTTAGATATATCGCAAAATATTCTAGAATACTAGATGTACTGAGAAAATAATTTGAAGTGTTAAATGTACCTTAACTTTTTTTTTTCCATATATTGCAAAATTATTTCTTTATAATATAATGAGTGTTTAGATAAAAATTAAATCATAATTTTAAAATAATTTTATGGCATTAGTTCCTTAAAAAAACGAAAAGAAAAAGAAAAGAAAGACAGGTAAGGAAGAGAAATTATGGCCGGGAGATGAATGAGTGAGAGGGACAAAAGGGGAGAGAAGAAAACGATGGGCGATTTGGTGGATCTTGCGTTGGATGAAAATGGATCCTCATTCGGATCCTTTTCGATGTTTGACTACGTCTACCAACCCAACCCTCTCTCTATCGATAAATAAACAAGGGTTCCTCGCTTCATACACTGTACTCTTGTCGTGATTCCTCATCGTTCTCTCCGCTCTTGCCTCCGCTCCTCCGTCACCAACACTTTCTCTGTAAGCCTTTTCATTCTCTGTCCTTCTCTGCCATTATCATGGAATTTTATATATTTCTCTAGTTGCTTGTATTCTTGCTTTTTACCTGGCTTAGTCAGCTGTGCGCCGTTTGCTTTTATCACCAACTAGAACTCCTAGATCCTGTTTTCGGCTCTAGATTTCCTCTTCCCTCCTCCTTTTTTCTTCTTTCCCGATGCTTTATTTTCATGCAGTGAAGATTGCTCCCTGTCTATAAATTATGATTATGATTTTAATCTCTGGATTTCTAAAGTTTGCTGCATGTTCTCGATATTTATGTGTGCTGAGTGATTTGTTCAGCGTGATTGGAACTTTATTGCTTGGTGGTTGTTTTGTTTATTGATCAGTTTCATTTGTCCGACAGATTAAGTCCTCTCTAATGGTCCCCCCTTTCGCTCCGAAAATAATGTCATGGCTTAGTTGTAACTAGTAATCCGCATCTAATAAAAAATTATTCCCCGGAGTCATTTATGTGATGGCTACTAACGAGTAGTAAGACGGCGGAGCTGGTGTTCGTGTCTGTCTTTTTTTTTTTTTTGGGGTTGGGGGGGGGCTGATCAGGGGAAGTGTTAAAAAGTTTTTCTATTGGAATCATCTGAGTCCTTTTTGAGCTTTGTTCAGCCATGCTCATCGAGTTCGATAGTTATATGATATACATCCTCCATAACATGTCATCGTGGTGTGGATAAGTAACAGCGTTACTGAAGATATTTCTCCTTATGATGACCAAATCACTGTTTCTTACTCATTTATAACCAATTCCACGGTGCTTTTAAGTTATTTTTGTCATAAATATTAGTTATTTCTGATATTTCACTCTAAAACAAGAGGATGGGGACAGACAATCATTACCAAATGGGAGCTCATACAGTGATGTCGATGGCAATGTTTCTATGTTTGCATAACAATTGTTTGAGTCTCTTGTCCAATCTATCCATCATGCGGTGCCTTTTGAAAACTGCCACGACCGAAGGAGAAGTTTAGTGATGTGGGAGATTTTTCATAAGATGAAAGATACTTGTATTCTGTGCTGACTTTAACTCTATTTATTCTCTCTTGAAATGCAGTGCAACAGCCATAGTTACTGGCCCTGTTCGTAATTTGATCATGGGAAAGTACATTGGATGTATTATAATTGCATATGCTTACATGTTTACTTTTTTCAATTTTAAGCTTATGCGGTTCCTTCCTTGCTACATAGTCATTTGTGAGGATAGAGCAAGACCATATTGCGAGGCTGTTATAGAAATGAATAAAAGTGGAGCCTCTTGTGAAGAGCAGAGCTATTAGTTTGCTTCTCTCCATAGTGCTTCATAAACCACCGTTCTTAACTGAACAAGGGATGGAAACGGTTCCATTATTCGTAAATTTTAAAGGCATAAATTTCTGAACTATGATTGTGCAGGCAAGTTATTTGGACTGAACTCCATTACTTATCCAGCTTTAGGCTACGAGCAATGTTGAAATAGATACCTCTCCTTTTCTCATTCAAATCTTATTAGGTTGTGGGCAATTTGTTTCCCAGAATACCTTTCATTTCAGCTAAGGTTAGACTTCAATACAGTGGATTAAAAGCTTCACCTAGTTAGACCTGGTCAAGGAGGTGATGAGATCGGTGGTAGCTTGAGTCCTTTGCCGAATGTTCTTTAAGAAAGGGAAATGCAGTCTTAAGGAATTCAGTTACGAAGGACTCAGTTCAGAGAACAGTGATAGTTTCTCTTGTTTGTTTAATCTCTGTCTGCATGGACCATGCCGGGCTCTATGGTGTAAATGAATAGCACGGTATCCCATGAATGAGTTATTTGATGTTTCTGAAATGTGCCATGGCTTGTGATGTATTAAATCAGCAGTTTTGTGTTACTTGAAATGCTATTCTTCGCAATCTTTAACATACTTTACATTCTAATCAAGGTGTTAAGAATGAGTGTATTTGTCCAGCAATTTTAGTCTTATACGCAGTTTTCTGAATCCAACTCTCACTTTTTATTATTGGCTCTTTTCCATTGTATATGACATCCTCTCCTGATGCCTTTTTGTTGACCTTGTCAGAGTAATCATGTCAACCTTGTCAAGTGTGAAGTTTTCCCCAAATTGTGAGTTCCGAGTTTCATGCCAAAACCAACTCACCAGTGCCGTAGTTAAGTGCCCATCCTCAGTTGAATTTGTGAGGTGTGTTCCCAAAACACTTGGCTTGAAGTCATCACTCTTGTTTAGGACAACTACCATGGCTGCCTACAAGATTAAGTTGATTGGTCCTGAAGGACAAGAGAATGAGTTTGAGGCCCCTGATGATTCCTACATCCTAGATGCTGCAGAAAATGCTGGAATTGAGCTCCCTTATTCATGCCGAGCTGGAGCATGCTCTACCTGTGCTGGGAAGATAGTATCTGGTTCTGTGGATCAGTCGGATGGCTCATTCCTTGATGACAATCAAATGAAGGATGGGTATGTTCTAACCTGTGTCTCCTACCCAACTTCAGATTGTGTAATTCACACTCACAAGGAAACTGATCTCTACTGAGACCAGTAAAATGGAGCTGTCAGGAGCAAAGTCAGGATTTTAAGGAGACCTTGAGGCCAACTGAACTTGTTCTTTCCTATTTTCCTGTCGTTGTTTTGTTCCGTGCACATTCAATGGTTGTTATCAAGTTGTTTAAAATGAACGTTATGGGGTTGCCAGTAATTTAGGATTTGATGGATTATGCCTCTGTTGGTGCTAGGAACCATTGTGATTTTAATATGGTAAGCTTTTTCGCTAGGCATTATTTCATTGAGATGGTGTTGCTTTCTGAATGACCGATATTGAACGAATGTCACTTTTAGTTTTAGATGTTAGAAAATTTCGAACAAGCCTGACCCAGTTTGAGCTAGTATCGCGTCCCAATAAATGGGTTTCGAAATCTGTTCATCGGGAGTCGTTATTGATACGGTATTGTTCAGCCGGAAAACAGAAACGTGAAGTCGAAATATGCTCTTGTAAATTAGGTGCTGATAGAAATTACCTTCCTTGGGAATATAGAAAAGCTAGACCGCGGTCAAATTGATATATGATCCAATGTTGATATTTTACTCTCAATGTTATATTGAGAATGTTGTTGACATTGATTGGGCCTGAATACGGAGAATAGGCAGGGTTTCTAATCAGAAGGCATGCCAGGAAATAGAGATTGATTGTGCGACCTCAAATGAGAAGAAAACATACTCCTCCTTTTAAAACATAATTGTTAAATTGATTTTGGTTCTAAATATAAAATCTATTTCTCATATTTATTATTATTTTTTAAATTACTTATATTTGTAATGCGTTAACCATAATCAAATAGAAAAAAAGGAAAAGATATTAAGGAAAATCATTATGATGTTGTAAAAAAAATATATAATATTTTTTATAATTAACTAATTTACTTAACTTTATTAATATAATTAAATTAGTTAAATGAGTTTTACATTAAAAACATTGCGTTTAGGGAAGTACAAATGACAATGCTACATTCTCCAAAATGGATCCCACATAAAGATTCAAAGCGCATCAAGACATTTGTACAATCAATAGACCAATTTTACTGTATGTTTAGTACTATAAATTTCTATAATTAACAGAAACATGATGAAAAGAGGAGTATACCAATGTGTTAGGGTCAATTCGGTTTTGGGATAATGTTTGGTGAGGTAGGTAACAACAAAGGTTGGTGGGAGCTAACCAAGGTGTAATTAAATTAATAATTAGTGATAAAGCATGGCGGCAAGGAATGGAGGAAGGCCTCACATCATGCAGTACAATAGAGACACCAGCCCTCCCCAATAACGCTCCGACCAAACACCGCCTAAGGATTTTTGCACAGCGTGGGCGCGGATCTATCTTTTCATCCATGATTACTACGTGCCAAATCAAAAGGTGGATTTTGAGAGAAATGATGCGTCTTTGTTTGTGAAGCGCACACGCCTCCGGTGGACGGTGCAACCATACAAATTTGGTCCCTCCCTTTCTTTTGGTTCCTAAGCAATATCCACTTTTTCCCGTTTCCTCTCTCCCCTTTGGACATTTGTGTATAAGCCCCACTCACTATAAATCCAAAAGTTTTAGAAAACCCTACACACCAATACATTCATGTGCCCATTAGCTTGGCCCTCATACAAAAGATTTCCTCTTTTCACAATGGGTTTATTAAGATTAACTAACATCACTTTTAATACTCCTCCAGTCTTAAATACAAAAAAAGTCTTATACTCCTTCTGTCCTTAATATAGAACCTAATTGTTGAGTTGGTTTTGATCCTAAATATAAGACCTATTTCTCATATTTATCAATTTTCTCTAAATTACCCCTATAGATACTCCCTCAACGATAATCAAGTAGAAGAGGAAGATGAGGTATTAAGAAAGATGATTATGGTATTTTAGAAAAAAACGTGTCACATTTCTTATAATTAACTAACTTACCTAACTTCCTTAATCTAATCAAATTAGTTAAATGGGTCTTATATTAAGGACTGGAGGAGTATTTAAGATCGGAGGAATATTATATATCAACGTTACAAGCCAGCCAATTCAAATGTTTATTCGCTTCTTCAAACATGTGCAAACAAGTCGCCTCATTTAGTGATCATAGCATTGGTCGTGGATCAAATATTGAAAATATTTCGCCTATAAGGAGCCCATTGGATGTAGTTGAAACGTGACGGCTCCGGTGTTGCCATGGGGTCAAATGAAATGAGATTAATAATAATTTTATTGCTTTTGAATTCCAGGTATTGGAATCAAATTCTATCTTCAGCCTTACACGACTCGCCTAATTTGAACACAGGTTGCATTTTCTCCTTACGTGACAATTCCAAACTCTGACTTCTTTTGTATTGAGAAAAATATATTCGTGAAATATTTTTATTTAGTTTCCCAAGCCATCTCTATGTGCTTGTGTTAAAGTGTTTAAAAGGAATCAAATTATTGACCTTATTACCTCTAAATTAACTTTCTCTTATGTGTTTTACGACCACTTTTTGTTATTATGTGTATCTATCTGGTTTGATGTTGACGCTCTTAACTGCAGAGGGATTGCTTGAACCTAACGCCTGAGTCAATCGATATGGTCATTATGATATAATCACTATTATAATCAAAAGGAATTAGAATTATAACTGTTGATCATATTGATTTGCTGTCTTCTTTTCCAAAAAAAGAATAAAATAAAAAAGTTGGATTCCCACTTGTGGATTACGAATGATGCTTGAACGGCTCATCAATTTCTCATGTTATTAATTGAATTAAATTCGGAATATGAAGAAGGCGATGTTTTTGTGTGAAAATCAATTTTTTTAATATTAAATAAAAAAGTGTGGTCCTAAATATATTATTGTTAATTATTGTTATCAGTAAAATGTGGCAATAAAACGTTATTATTAAACTAAAAGAATGAGATAATGGTTTACATTATCATATGGTGGGTCAGTATCATATAGTATTATCACCTGTGATTCACGGACAGAATACATGAGAGAGAAAACTCGCACGTTAATTATAATTTTATTTTATTTCATGTTGTTTAATTATTATTTGCGTCAAATGGATTGATACATAAATTAAATGCTAGAATTGGTCAGAAAATGTAGAATCACGCCATATGAGATAAAATTAGAGGAGCACGCTCCCAAAAATAAATACATACCAGAGATAATCTTGATAAATAGGGATTGTGAGATCATAACATATAGCTGTATTAGAAAAAAAAAAAAAGGGGCCCTTTTTTGAAATAAATAATAAAAATAATAAGAGGAGATGATCCTCCAGAGCGGCTGCCGTTCTCTGATTCTTTTTTTTTTTTTAATGTTTAATGGGCAGGCCGTGTGGCTGCTTTGCTTACATTCCTTTTCTTATTATTAATACCGCCTTCTTTCTTTTTTTCTTTTGTTAATTCTCTCTTATTATATATTTGATCACGATCCAATTATTTGTGATTACCTAAATATTAAAAATTTAGCCTTTTTATAGGGATTTTCCCAAACTAATTATTTTCACAAAAACAAATCTCTTTTTCAGGCTTTTAGTAGGATCGCGGCAGCTCGCTGTGCCAAGGCTTCGAATTATTTTTTTTAAAAAAAAAAATTTACGCATACTTTTTCAGGAAAAATGTTTTAAAGAATTTTAAAAAAATCCTAATAACAACATCTAAAAAGTAAATGATAATATATTTTTGTAGTGATTCTTGATTTGAAATTTTGAAATTTTAGAGCTATGTTTTTAAGATTTTCCTATTTATTTTCATAAAAATTGTGCGGCCTTCCTTTTTTTATGTTCAGAAAGGCTATATACATAGAAATAAATAATACTAATAAAATTTTATTTTAATTTTAAAAATAAATATTTTTCATCTGAGTATAAATTTAAATAATGATATCCCGAGGTCTAAATTATTTACTTTGTTTTCTTTAATAAGCATTTTTACTTTTTATGCCCTAAATTAAAAAAAGATAAATTGCATTTGTTTCTTAAAATTTCCCAATTGGTAGAGGTAGACAGTTTTGGATTCAAAAATATCAAAGAGGCGTGTCAACAAAAAATTAAAATTTGTCCACAATTATTACACATTAAAAATAATATATATATTTCTGAAGATTACAATTGATTACACATTAAAAATTTTGACGCGTTCACATTTTTATTTATTAGTATTTGTTATTCTTAGCACGAACCAATTAAGTGTGGGAGGGACAATATAGTAATTTAAGAACATGCCATGTCGGTAATTTGAGCAGGCCTATACTGAGGAAGAGGACGAGTTTGATCTGAAACGCGTATGCTGCTTGAGAAAATCCTCCGATTTTTTCTCTCGTTATGATATTATTCATTATTAATTATTGATCCCCCACCGCCTATAATTCTATAAATTAATTCTCCAACAAATAATCACCATAAATATATATCACTCTAAATATTAAATGAATAAAATAAAAGAGCTTGAGCCTGCACGATTTCACTAGTAAAACAGAGGAAACCAGTTTCCACTACAGAAAAAACAGAGCTTCTCGTCTCACTCTCTGCTCTGTTCCTCCTCCTATTTTTCTATATATTCCATGAAGACACGCGTTTTCTGGAAAATTTTGGTTGCTCTTCTCCTCTTCTCATTTTGAAAGCCATGGCCAACATCACATCCATGTTCTCTGCTTCTTCCTCCTCCATCATTGCCATATTCCTGCTTCTCACCCTTCCTGGTTCGTTATCTACTTCCTCCCATTCCTCCATCAAGATTTTCCTCCTAAATTCCATGCACTTCATATTTTCTCTCTGATACAACTTCCAGCTGCAATGTGTTTTCTCAGCAATTCGCTTTGAATTTCTCTTTCTCATTTTGTGAATTGCTTCCTAGAACGATCTTCATCTTCTTCTTTGTTATGGAAATCCAATTCTATGCCAAATAATCTACATGTCATCTTCATTTATGCATAGTTTTCCCCTCAATCTTCATTCTCAATCTTCATTAGCTTCATTTGAAAGTAACTCACTTCATTAGACATTTCGAAGACTAACTTACATCTATCTTATGACGTGTCTCACTCTGTTCTCACAGTTAATTTAGATTTCCACTGGTTGCAGTTTTTTAGTAATTGTTTATTATGAAATCCTTATTGAAACTGCTGTAAGACGTTTCTCATTATTCTGAATCTGCTTTGTACTCTGTTTTTCCAGATATTTGTCTGCAAATTCGAGGCTCAGAGTTTGGAATAAACTACGGCCAAATAGCCAACAATCTCCCATCTCCTTCTCGCGTGGCTGGTCTCTTAAAGTCCCTCAACGTCAGTAGAATCAAACTCTACGATGCCGATCCAAACGTTCTGGTTGCCTTCTCCAATTCCGATGTCGAATTCGTCATTGGACTAGGAAACGGGGATCTGGAGAACATGAAAGACGTATCACAAGCACAATCCTGGATTCAACAAAATGTGCAACCATACCTCTCACAGACCAAAATCACCACCATTGTCGTTGGAAACGAGGTTTTCACCAACAACGACACACAACTAAACCAAAACCTCGCCCCCGCAATGCAAACAGTGTACCATGCCCTTGTCAATCTTGGGTTGGATCAAAAAGTTGCTGTCACCAGTGCTCATTCTTTCAATATTTTATCCAATTCTTACCCTCCTTCCTCTGGAGCTTTTAGAGCAGATTTGATTCCATATATCCAGCCCCTTTTGAGTTTTCATGCTCAAGTGAAATCCCCTTTTCTGATTAACACATATCCATTTTTTGCGTACAAGGGAAGCCCCAATGAGATTTCATTAGACTACGTATTGTTTCAGCCAAACGCAGGAATGGTTGATCCAAAGACGAATCTTCACTACGATAACATGCTTTATGCTCAGATTGATGCTGTGTACGCAGCCATCAAAGCATTGGGTCACAGTGACATTGAGGTTAAGATTTCTGAGACAGGTTGGCCTTCTAAGGGTGATCCTGATGAAGTAGGGGCTTCACTTGAAAATGCAATGTTGTACAACGGGAATTTGTTGAAGAGGATGGAGATGAGACAAGGGACTCCAGCGAAACCTTCGGTTCCTATTGATATCTATGTGTTTGCACTTTTCAACGAAAACATGAAGCCTGGTCCTACTTCCGAGAGAAACTACGGTCTCTATTATCCTGATGGTACTCCTGTTTATGATGCTGGATTACAAGGTCGTTTACCAGAGATGGTAGTTCAATCTGTATCCAAGTCCAACGTAAGTGGACATACATTGAAATCAAAGACACTAAATCTATTATTCTCTATCTTTTTTTCATTTCTCAGGTTTTCTGGTTTTCTGTGTTGTTCTGCAGGGCTTGTTCGTGGGCTTTCTTGTCTATGTCATTACATGTTTAGTTTTTGTTTTTGAGATTTCAAGGTCTTGATCACAAGTAGGAAGAGATCAAGGTAAACAGAGGATTCATTTTGCAAGAGGAAGCCATATAAGGTCAGTAACTTGATCCTCCATTCCTACATTTGTTCCGGGGAAAAAAATTTTACTTTTTGCATATCATAAATAGGAGAAACAAATGAAATTTTCGGGAATGAATAATAATATCAAATGAGCTAATGATCATGCAAAACAGAAATAAGGAATGGAAAGTGTATAGGAGAAAAGTAGAGTATAAGAAGCAAAAGGGAAAGCGTTTTTCCTGCCACTATATATATATTAATATATATATATATATTCAATTTTCCATGAGTTCATCATGAAATCAAATGATGGGAAAGTTTTTGGAACCATGGTGTGCAAAGGTTGTGCTTATTGCTCAATGGTATCTAATAAAGCAAAAACTGTCAAATGCTGTCCATTTCATGCTTGCACTAAGTGGACGTTTTATATATATATAAGCAAAATTTGGTAATGGGTCTCCATCTTCCTCATCATCCCACATGTAATAAGGCATGCCAGTGAATAAATTCCCCTTGTCTTAAGCAGTACAAAAGTCCAAAAGAGTGTTGCATCAGATGAGAAATATGTCGTCAGGATCTCTTTGCCAGATCTTCAGGGTTTCAAAACCTCACAGTGTTTTGTCTCTCCTTCTCAACCTTATCTTCAGCCTCCTTCTCTGTTTGTCATAGATCCCCGTGATCATCGTACCAGTTAACAGCAATCTTATGAACTAAAGGGACAACCTAAGATTATAAATGAGATCGATCTTGCGACCTCCCGGTCACAGGGAAGTTTCATGTGACCAGGCTACAGGGCATTGATGACTCCTTTTCACATTACATCACTAATTCCCCATACCATTTCACAGCCACGTATATCAAGCTGCCACGAGTATCTTCTCTGCTACTCTCTTTGGTTAATTTGTCTTTTTGAATTTCACGGCCACATATATCACGAGGAATTCGTACAATCTCATAGTCCTACTTGTGAGCATCTGAATGTAGAAGGAAACATCTTGGTATGAAGGAACCTGGTTTTGGAAATCCAGAACATGAACCTGATTAAAAAAATCAGGGGGGAGAAATTCAAAAAGATGACACACGAGAGTCACAAAAGGGGGGCCATTTGGGGTAATGGTGGCTCTAGAAATTTGATGATGAAGGTGCGATGTGCCTTTGAAATGTTAAAACTCTGGGACCTCATCAGTTCGTCATCATGGCCCCACCTAGGATAAGGTTGACGAAAGAATACATTCATCCACTTGATCTTTTTTTTTTTTTTAAGGTCAAATAGAGTCCCTTTAGTTGCCAACTAGTTAGCTGCTTCATGCCTTCACAGTTGCCAACTAGTTAGCTACTTCATGCCTTCACACGCCTTTTGGTGCATTAAAAGATCAGTCCCTTTTTTCCTTTCCCCTGATCTCTCACCTTATTTTGCACATACAAACTCCAAGACAACTGCATGCTATTTTAGACCTTTCAAAACCAGTCAATGGTGTAATGTTGAATCATAAATACATACTAGAATTTTATTGCAAAATATTTGTGTCAATATGATGATACAGATATTTAAGGAAAAATCCACTTGATATGTGAGCTTATTTTAATGCTAGTTGTGCTGCAATTTGCTGAGTACCTCATCAAATTAAGTGATAAAGAAAGAAAGAAAGAAAGCAACTTAAACCTACTATATACACACACACGCATGATGCAAATATATATATATATATATATATATATATATATATATATAAGGTGCATGTGGGATCTGGGTGGCCAGTTTTGACAATGGATTTAACGATTTAAAGAGATATTCCTGTTATGAAGAAATGCTACTATTGATAAGGAAGGTGGGGGGCTATTGTCAATCAATGAGGCTAATTATTATTTTGTGGGAATATCTTGCTTTATTTTATTTTTTTATTATATATGTTGCTGAATTAGATTCATTTGGATGGATTTTATTTATTTATTTATTTATTTATTTTGCAGGGCGACCAAAAGCAACACAACTTTTTTTTTTGGTTGGCATAGATGCTTCGCTTGCAAGATGACAGCTTCGCCACCATAACCAAATAATTGCCTCATCTTCCTTCATTCTTGTCATTCCCAGATCCCATAGCTCAACCCCTTATTATTATTCTTACGCTTTAATTATCATATTTAATAACATGAGAAAGCCAAGAAAGATGGGGATATTTTAGTAATTAGTGGTAGTGATGTGATTCTTTTATAGAAAGTCAGTAATAGTTTTATAGATCATATATATCCTCTTCTTTCCTTTTTTGCCCTCTTTTTTTTTGGTTCCTTTCTAGTTTCTCACAGGTAGTTAGAAATTAAACATTATTACCGTTAGTTGATTGTAACATTGATTTGGTAGTGTTTTCGTGTGGAGGTGGAAAGAATTTGTCGGCTTTTCAAATGTGATGTGATTGAGGTACTTGTTGTGTGCATTTGGTAAAGAGTGATTATTCTGTTGAGTTATTAGTCTTCAATCATTTGAAACAATGCCGCGTGCAAACTTATATTATATTGGAAAATTAAAGAGATAATATGTAATTACGTACATAAAATTGATTTATTAACATCCACAATGAAGCCAGCTTCTATATAACGTCATTTTTATAAATGAGAGAAGTGATTAAAAAAGACAAGTCGTGCAAGCAACGATGACAGGGGACAAGGACCTTTTTTTTCTTATCATTATTCATCACGCGATAATAGTAAGCCATAATAATAATAATAATAATCATCATCATCAAAATTAACACGCAATCATGTCTTTTGTTTCCTTCCTTATTTGAGTGGTTTTATCAAGATCGAAGAGCATTGTGTTCATACATGCTAGAATATAGTGTACTAACATTAAAAAAAAAAAAAAGGATGTACTGTAGTTAGGTGACGAAATAAACACGTCAAAATTAATTTTGAGATATTCTACATATAATGAATAAATTAATCCTCTCCATAATGAAGGTGGCCTGCATCTACCTACAAAGATTTTTTTTTTTCCCCCTTTCACATGGCTGTTGGCTTGATTACATCTTGCTTTCCACGTAAAAAATGGTCCCAAATAAACAAGCCATCTATCTCACTTTCCCTCGTTCAATGATGATTATTGCATTATTTATGTGCTTCTATTAAAAAAAATATAAAATGCACTTTCTTGTTTATACTTCATTTAACGTCTAAAAGGTTGGATTCGATGTTTTTAATACTATGTCTTTTGTAAAGTTTCCTTTAAAAAAAAAAAAAAAGGTCGAATTCATGGTTATGCTTCTGGTATTCATATTTGCATCAAACTTCGATGTGCTGGTCAAAAAATTAAACTTGGATGCGACCCCATGCTCTTTAGTGAATCTCATATTAGCCACACCAACACAAAACACATAGCAAACAACAAGTATATAATATGGTCAAATGGAGGGTGAGCATAAAGACTAAAGAGGAGTGGCTTGGAGATGAAGATAAGTCTAATAATTTGAGAGATGTATTGCACGCAAAGTAGTGGAATCTTCATATAATTGCACGCAGAATTAAACAAAAAGCATCAACGGCTTTTGGACCTTTGGCTCTTTTTATTTTCACCCATCAATCTTTCTATCTGGGAATATATTGACTACGGATATATGTTATGTGATTTGCAGTCACATGCTCCCTCGTATCCTTCTAAGGTACTAGGGGAGGAGTTTTGTAATTTTTTTTTCATAAGGTATCATATTGACTATTTATTACAATTTTTTCCTTTATCCGTATTCGATGTTAATGCATAATCAGTTTTTTCCTTTTTAATGTTAATGTAGGAAGGTAAGAAACATTTTTAATGATGTATTTTGTATGGGCAAATAAGGAAACTCATTTAATTTTTAGATAAGGTTAATGGGTTTTAAGGTTTCTTTTTTATTCTAATAAAAATATTAAAAAGTTATCAGTAAACAGAATAATTTAATTTATGATGGAGATTTCATGTATTATTTATCAGTTGAATTTCGAAATCAAGAAGAAAAAAGTTCATATACATGGGAGAAAAATACAAATGGGGAAAAAAGAGTTTGAATCTTTTGACCCCAAAAAATAAAAGTTTGAATCAACACATCAAAACTCAAAAATCTCATTATAAGTTTACATCTTCTTTCACATTTATTTATATATTTTTTAAGCCCAATTATTAGGATGTTTGGATAGAAACCAAATCATGATTTTAAAAGTGCTTTTATAGTATACGAAGTAAATATATGAAAAGATTTATCTTGTTTTACAAAAAAATACTTTTTAAAAACACTTCTATATGTACCCAAACACCCCCATATCTTATAAACTTTGTCTCACACCTCACATTTCAACAATACATGTATAAATACCGATTAATCATCCCTCTTCATATTTATCCTCTTTTTTCTTTTTAACCTTCATCTCTGATATTGTATATAGTCAGTTTGTTTAAATAAATTTCTAGTTGTCATTGTACATAGTAAGCTTCGTATGATGATATTTCGTTAATGAATAAAATTGTGCTTTGAAGCCGAGAGTGTTGAGCAGCTTATTAGAAAGTCTCTTAAGTTTATGTACCAAATAAATAAATAAATAAATCATTTATCTTCATTTCCACTTTCAAATCAAAATAAAACCAACGTCTTAAATGTAAAATATATAGCCCAGTGCCACCTATTCTCAAAGGATCTACCATGCACAAAAGTGCCCACCTAGCTGCTATTATTGAAGACATGTACTCTCTTAATTCAATGCCATATCTCTCATTTGAAAGTCAAATCAGCAATAGACAAAGAAGAAAACAACACCACTTGCAGTGCTGACCCATGCAGGGACTAGGGAATAACGATACATAAACATAAACCAGTATTTATTATTCATATCTGCATATCCGCTTTAGCATAATATTTACATGAAGCTTATTACACAAAAGTATGGAAAATTATTACACCCTCAAATGTTTATAGTCAAGGAAATTCATGAATCAAAGAATTGAAGGTAACACCAAAAACAAATAAATCCTTGAAATGAATATCGCCACAGCTTCTCAATATGACACGAGGAAAGGAATAACCATAGACATGAAGGCGTCATATGAAAGTGTCGCTGAACCAGTATAACGCGTATCCTTCTCCTTAAATTTGTCAGTCAGGCCCTGAAAATTTCAACACGTTAGCTTATAACTAAAAGCATATTTATATAAGAGAAATAACACTAGTTCTAGCAATGTGAACTCATTGACCAGTAACCCAACTAGTGAAACCCTACAATATCTAGTCCTCCAGAGTGTTCTTCCCCATGAGCTTCATGATTATAACAGTTCTGACGTGTAATTTTGAACTTCATGAAAATCTATAATTCATTAATTTGTGGATGCATGAGCAACCATGCTTTTCTAGACTTAAAGCTATAACACCTTCCTTCTTGTTTAGTTCTTGTTATGTAAGCCACTAAATTTGGAGTCGAAAGGTTTCCGTTTGAGTAGGAACAAAACAGAATATATGCATTGTGATTTTGGAGGGAGGCAAGGTAATAGGGATTTGGAGGTGAGGATGGGAGAGCAAATTATTCCTCAAGTATCAAAATTTAAATACCTAGGATCCATTATACAGGAGGATGGGGAAATTGATGGAGACATTTCTCATAGAATACAAGCTGGCTGGTTAAAGTGGAGGAAAGCTACCGGAGTTATTTGCGATAAGAAGGTACCTGAGAAACTTAAAGGAAAATTTTATCGGATTGCTATAAGACCAGCTATGATGTATGGTAGTGAATGTTGGGCAATAAAGGGAAAACAAGAGCACAAAGTCGGAGTAGCAGAAATGAGGATGTTGAGATGGATGTGTGGTCATACAAGAAAAGATAGGATTCGAAATGAAAAGATCAGGACAAGAGTCGGTGTGGCATCTATCCAAGAGAAAATGGTTGAAAATCGCTTAAGATGGTTTGGACATGTGCAGAGAAGGCCTTTGGAGGCCCCGGTGAGGAGGGTGGATCAAACAAGATGGAGTCCCATAAAAAGAGGCAGGGGAAGACCGAGAAGAACGCTGAATGAGGTCATTGAACGAGACCTCCTAATCAACAACATATCTAAGGATTGGGTTGTTGACAGAGCAAGATGGCGTCGTGTGATTCATGTAGCCGACCCCACCTAGTGAGATAAGGCTTGTTGTTTGTTTATGTAAGCCACTAAATTTCTCCCCTTTTCTGGTGTTTTTTTTTTTGGGGGGGGGGGGGGGGAATGGATTGAGGGGAAGGAGGAAACTTAAAAACAACTGAATTGAAAAAGCCATTGCCCAGAAATATTCCAGCCAGATTT